TGAAATCAACAATCTCATTGGAACGACAAGCCTAAACAAATCCACAAATCACAAAATGATTTTGAAGAAACGAGATTCGATTGAAGAACATAAAGTCAATTGAATAAAGAATAAATCTAGTCAACAACCGACAACATGAGAATCGTGACTCATAAGAGGCTTGAATCGATTACCCAAATAGCGATTTTGGCTTCAAAAATCGATAATAATTGAATCGATGAAGAACGCCACAAGTGATGAATTAAGATCAGACGAGCAATGATAAACTGAACTTGGTGATGGTGTTGATGCCGATGATGAACGTGTTCGACCACACACATGACTAGGTCAAATATATTTATTTTATTTCCTTAATTGCAGGATTTGAATTAAATGATTTCCTTAAGTACAAAAGGTCCAAAATACCCTTAAATGATTTATTTAATTATTTTTTATTTCTTGAATTCTCATTGGTGCATTTAGGTACACAATAGTTGCTAGAAACATTTGAACCTAACTCTCTCTCTCTCTCTCTCTCTCTCTATATATATATATATATATATATATATACACACACACACACACACCATTTGATAGGTTGAACAATAAACACCTCCATCGGTGGAAATCACCAATCCATGCATTGATGACAGCTTCCCCAACATCTCAGTCTTAAGGAAAGTACCAAGGAATAAAACAAATAGTATTTCCATTAGTGCAAATACAATGGAAATGAAACAATATTTCACTATCAAAGGAAATTAATTTATAACTTAGTAACCTCATTCTATCAAAAGAAGTTTTGACAATGCAATTTGAAGATGACAGCAAGTGCGAGCCCCCCAAAAACTTCCTCTATTACTTGTCACTGATTGCATTACCATAAATAAACATGAAAGGGGATGGAAATTGAGAATGAGCTTGAACTGTGAAGTGATCATTAATGGAATCAGAAGCATTGGCACAAATAAACCTGTCGAGTGATGAACAATGAGTTTATAAATTTTCTATATGTTTTAAACAAAGAAATGTTAGCTGGAACTGACCAACAAGATATATACACCTTCTCTAGATAATGTCCAATCTTCTGTGACTTCATCTGTGATTTGCACTGCCAATGAAAAGAAAATTTTGTGGAATTTTAAAAGGTTCATAAACTTAATTACAGTGCCTATGTAATATTAACGATTTGTTGAAGGATATTTGTTTAAACTATAGATTTGTATACATGTTATTGAATTCATTTTCAAAACAAAAAGAATACAAAAAGACGCTACAAATATTAGATACCTTTATCTTCAAATCTTCCTCAGCACTCAAATATTCAAATTGGAAAGTTGAAGCTACAAGAGTTTAAATTTCAAAAATGAATAATTACTTATAAGATGCATGCAGACCCTTCATATATAGTCTCATATTAAATTATAACCAATTAAATTTTGCCTTCAAACATTCTCAATGTAGGATCTGAATACTTGAAATGCATACTTGATCCTTGTATAGAAGAGATAAGTTGTTGGCATGCATATTTCATTATATTCTAGGCATGTCTTTACAACTTGCATATACAATAAACCATCAATATGGGATCGATTATGAGTACGTACTTCCTTTTATCTAATATTTTATCATACAATATTTTTTTTCATCTGGTGATCATTACCAGAGAGTGCGTACATAAAGACTGTTAAGGAGAACATGAAGCTTTCAATTATGGTGATCCATGTCCAACTAATACATTTAAAGGACACAAGTGATTTCGATTAATTAAACATATGAATCCTTAAAAATTAAGGGCATCCACAATGTATTAACTTCATAGAGTTCAATAGATTGCCACATCATCTTTCTACATCCCATACAACTCAATCAATTTTTTTTTAAAATGCATTGAACTCTACAAAGTTCAGTAAAACAATACAAAAGCTAATTGATAGTATATGTTTAAGAATTAAAAAACATTCCTTTTCCCGTTGAATATTTTGATGGTTATTGAACTCCAAATCTATTGAATGCCAATGTGGTATCTCACAATGGTAGAGTTTTATCCATTGAATGAAAACTAGATTTGTCACCTCATTATTTAACTCTCCCATTAAACTCATCATTTTGGATGCTCTAATAGCATGTACTTTGTACAAATATTCAAGGAATTGTTCAGTTTCATAAGTTTTCTTATCTGAACACTTACATGTTGTCAGGGTTACGCTCCTAGAAATTCCGGCCTTCATTCTTTAAGTGATCAAAACAATCAAGGTTGGCTTGAGTTTAAGCATCAAACGTCAATGGAAGGCCTTAAATATACTCCTCATGTCAACACAATAATCATATTAGTTTGCATGAGTAAAAAAATTATTTAATTGGTTCATTCTTCTTCATGCAGGGACTGTATCTAAACAGGAAAAATGTTGAGTAAATCATGAATCGGTATCATCTATGGGTTACATACTTAATCACACATTGGTAGCTGATAAAACTAATATAAATGTCATTAAATTTATTAACTACTTTAAAAAAAGATGGTGATTATGGATTTGATGTATGTGGTGCACACAAAGTGTTTAATGAAATGCGTCAATGACATTCAGTAAGTTATTAAGATGTGAATATGTGTTTTTATGCACTAAGTTGTGAATTAGTGTCTAAAATATTGAACTAAGATAAGAATTAATGTCTGAAATGTTGTATTAAACCGTGAAATCTATTTTTTTTATTCAAATGTGTTTTTGGAGGGAATGATAAATGTGAACTTGGGAATACAGGGGTCCGGAGCAGTGCCCCTGGGTATTGGGTTCCAAGGGGCAGTGCCCCAAGCGGGGTCAAGGGAAGCTCCCTTGTGGGGCTCAGTGCAGCGCCCCAAAACCAAAACGGATTTCTGTATCAAGAAAGACTCTGGACATGCCTTTTCCCACCAAAATAAGTGGTGACATCATTATGATGTAACAATTGGTTATGTCTTATACCCACTCTTCTAACCATCATATTTGGCACCAAAAATGAGTATAACCACCCTTAACCACTTTTCCATCCTTTATAAGAACTTAGAAAAGTTCCAGAATTGGGTTGGCTTCTAGATACCCGAAAATCTATTTTTTGATTTTATCCATCTTATCAAGAACACAAAAACAACAATGTATTTATGTGTTTCGTATTTGGAAGTGGCATGACTTCTAAATTGTCTCTCTTGGATTATCCCAAATCAGATTTCATGATACCCCATGCATAAGGGTCCGAATAACAGATTTTGAAAAGTGATTGCAATCACAATCCTAGAAACTATCAAAGTAATTATTGATATTTTTAAACCCAAAATATAACACTTTATGGTGGATAGACAATTGTTGATATTTTTGACGGTGTTGATGAGGATAAATGCTATTGTTGATTCCACCTCTAACCCATCGCCACCATCAACTCTTCGTAACATTTAGTGGTTGGCAACACTTGGCGATAATGATAGGCAAGTTATCCATATTTCTTTTTATTTATATTACATGAGTTGTTAAACTCAAGGTTTTAAGGCGCGACACGACGTTGAGACACGACTTCGTTGCCAATATCGTGATATGACACGAGCTCTTTTCAAAATGTTTTTTTTTTCATTTTAAATCGCGTCTTGAAAAAAGTAGTAACTTGTCATGGGTGCACTTGGTTCACTGGAATGGAATGAAATTCGAGGGAAAATGAATCCAATTCCATCTCATTCCAGTATTTGGTTCAACTTTGCATGATGGAATTGGAATCTTAAATGAAAAAACGTTCCATTGAATAGGGAAAACACTTTCGTTCAAGAAGACAATGGAATTAATTCCATACTATGAAGGAAAATGACATTTTACCTTATTACACTTGTTTTATTTCACAACATAACCTCTACCACCATCACCCACCACCATCACCCACCACCATTACCACCGCCACCATCACTTACCCACCACCACCTTCATCACCGTCACCATCACCGCCACTGCCACCACCACCTATCACCCACCACCACAACCACACCTACCAATACTATTTATTATTGCCACCACCATTTACCACTGTCACCACGACCACCTACCGTTACTGCCATCACCAGTGGCGAGTCTAGAATAGAAAACCACATGGTTCACTAACTTTTCTATAAAAAAAATTCTATACAAATTCAAAGATTTTATTGGTAAGGTAGGTCCTAAATTTTTTCTAAGGTAGGTCACAAAATTTTTAGATAAGTTAGAAAAATTAGGTAGGTCATTGGAACCATCTTCCTTCATATAGCCTCGCCACTGGCCATCACCACCTACTACCACTGCCACCAACACCTACCATCTTCACCTACCATCGCCACCACCACTGCAACCGTCACTACCACCTACTGCCCCAGAGTCACCGTCGCCGTCACCGCCACCACCACCGCCACCGCCACCACCACCTACCACCGCCACCATCGTTACTACCATCGTCACCACCAACCACTTACCGTCACTTCCACCACTACCACCACCACCACATACTACCGCCACCACCTATCGCCACAGACACCACCAACACCACCACACCAACCACCAGCAGCACCTACCACCGCCACCGCCACCACCACTACCATCACCACCCACAATCACCACCACTACCACCCACCATCACCACCTACCACCCTCCGTCTCCACCGACATGAATGATCAATTAATAAAATGAAAATTTACTATTTTTATAGTTATATAATATATCTTTCCATGTAAGATTGAAAACAAAGTAAAATTAAGCACAACAAACAAAAAGGGTAATTTTGTCATTTTATATGGATTACAATTTCATTTTCTACCAATCAAAAAGAATCTCTCCAGTTCAATTTTCTGCCAACCAAACATTATATCAAAAACAATATATGAAATTTGATTCAACTTCCGAAAATATTCTTTTTATTCAATTTTAATTTATTTTAAAACATTATGCCAAATAAACAACATCGATAAGCGACTCATTTAGAATCTTAATTAAACTTGTAATGGGCTTTTTATTTTTTTATTTTTTTTTAGTATCGGCCCGTCTCAATTCTCATCCATCTGACATGGAAGTTGGAATGATCGAAGATCATCGTTTATTCTCTGATCGCAGAAAGCAAGATCAATCACGACGCTGGTTGGAGCGCAATAATCTGTATGAAATTCATTGACTTGCTAGTCACCATCATCGACTGATTCATTGAGCTATGGCTGCTCCATCGTCGTCGGCGACGAACATCATGCTCGCAATCTACGAGAAGAAAACCGTCGCGGTCGATCTCTACCGCCCTCTCCGCAACTACATAGTCTTCAATTACTCCGAACGCGAGGCTCAGAATTTAGAAGACGACCTCGAAACCCTAAAGGAGATGCGGAACAACATTGAACGCTTCTCTGCCGCTGATTCCCTCTCTACCCGTCGCGACCTCCTCCAGAACTACATCAAAGCCCTAACCACTGTTGAATCGAGGTTTCCAATCTCTCCTGACAAGGATCATGTGAACTCTGTGACCTTCACGTGGTATGATGCGTTTAAGAACAGGAACAAGGCGTCGCAACAGAATATTCACTTGGAGAAGGCCGCGATTTTGTTTAATTTGGGCGCGGTGCACAGTCAGATCGGATTGGCTTGTGATCGTTCGACGGTGGAAGGGAGACGACAAGCGTCGCACTCGTTTATAGCAGCCGCGGGTGCGTTTGCTTACTTGAGGGATAATGCGGCAACAAAGGCGTCAATTGGTAATTCAACTACTGTGGATGTTTCAATGGAGTGTGCGGGGATGTTGGAGAGGTTGATGCTTGCTCAAGCGCAGGAATGTGTATTTGAGAACACAATTGCTAAAGGAAGCACTCCTGGGGTTTGTGCCAAGATTTCAAGACAGGTAAGTGTTGGTTTTCTTGCTGTTAATAGCTTGTATAAGTCCCATATAAGCGTCTTAATCCTTCTGCATTGCTTGTTGTTGCATCAAAAGTTATTCTAAGCAGTTTTTGATCAACAAACTCAAAGAAAAGAGTACTTGCATTTGGTTACAGTCTTATAGAACAGTTTACATAAATATAGGCGGGTCTCTACTATGAGGAAGCAGTAGCTGCACTAAATGTCACACCACTCAATCAACACTTCGACAAGACATGGATCTCTCACATTCAGCTAAAGGCAACTCTGTTCTATGCAGAAGCTTGTTACAGGTATAGCCTAGAGCTTCATGAAAAAGAAGAAATCGGTGAAGAAATAGCACGAATCAACAGTGGCATCACTGCATTATCCGAAGCCAAGAAGTCATATCCAAGGGGTACTTCACAACAAATCCTCGATTCAATCAACAAGCTAGAAACCAAACTCAACATCAATTTAGATAGGGCAATGAAAGAGAACGACAGAGTCTATCTTTTAAGAGTACCTCCAGTTAACTCTCTCCCCCCTCTTCCTGCATTCTCATTGGTCAAATCAATGAACATGAACGACGTATTGGATGCAAGTAAAGTAAAGATGTTTGCTACTCTTGTACCTGACAATAGTGCAAAGGCTCTTTCTAGATACACTGAAATGGTGGATGATGTCATCAGAACTCAAGCTGAGAAACTCCAACAAGGGAGTGAGCTTGCTAGAGTCCACCTCAAAGAGATGAGTTTACCTGATTCGATTCTTGCATTAGAAGGACATTCTGTGTTGCCACCAGCTTTATGGGAAGATGTGGAAGCGGTGCAAGTTAGCGGAGGTCCAACTGGCTTACAAGGTGAGCTTCAACAGCTTCATGATCTAAGAGAGTAAACCATGAATTGGTTGTTCAAACTGAGGAGTTACTTGAGAAAGAAGCAACAGAAGATGGACAATTTAGAAACCAAATTGGGACACGATGGACTAGACCTCAGTCAAATACTTTGACTAAGAATTTACAAGATCGATTAAATGGATTTGCTGCAAATCTGAAGCAAGCTGCAGATAGTGATGGAAAAATTGATCGATCTGTAAGGCAACACATGGCACTCATGGCTATTCTAGATACTCGTCCAGTATGCTTTCTTGAACTTTGACTAAATTGTTGACTTTTTATATGCTTTAAATCAGGCAATTGTGGTTGTAAATCATCATTGTTTTTCATTTTGTTTTTTTCCAGATAGAATCTGCCCTTCCAAGTTTGGGAAGACCAATAATGTCTTTGGATGCCAATGAAGATGCTGTAGTAGGGGCCCTGAAGCAGAGCTTGGTAACATAAAAAGGAATCATTTATATTTATGGCATAAAATTGTTAATTGTTTTTTTTATTTAAAATATATTGTGGTGATTTTTGTAGAGGCAATTAGAGGCATTGGGTGCACAAAGGGCAGGTCTAGAGGACATGCTTAAAGATATGAAGACAAAGGTATTTATTTTTCTTGATGAGATAAATGGTTTTATCTTTATACATTTTTTTTTAAAGATTGTTTGATGTGGATATTATTTTAATAATGGTTTTATTTGCATTTGTGTGTCTATTGGGTTTAGGATGATATACTCCCCAAAGTTGATGACATCTACTGGTTCATACGAGGATCTTTTTAGAAAAGAGATAACAAAATATGATAATATATGTGAAGAAATATCAAAAAATCTACAGGCTCAAGAGCAGTTATTGCTTCATATTCAGGTGTTCTTTCTTATTTCATTTTCAACAAAAAAAAAAAAAAAAAAAACGAATTCTAATTACTTGTCTTCCATATATAGGCACAAAACAACCAGTTTGCAAGCACCTTTAACATTGAGGACTACACGGGTAGGTCCCACATCCACTTAATAAAATATTTAATATTTATCATTTTTTTTTGTTTATTTTATATTACATTTGGTGTGCAGCTTCTTTTGAGAAGTGTTATAAGCAGATTGAAGGTGCTATAGCCAAGTATAGAGAAATCAAAGAGAATATCAATGAAGGACTGAAGTTTTATGTTACTCTTCAGGTTATAACAAAAACCTTTTAATAATAATTAATATTAATATATCTAATCATTAAAATTTATATTTTTATATTATAATTATTGTACATGCAGGAAGCAATCAGCAACATAAAACAACAAGCAAGTGACTTTGCTATGACGCGAAGCATGCAGTGTCGTGAAATGGTGGAAGACGTCCAAAGACAAATATCCGGTCTCAGTGTTCAACCACCTTACTACCACCAACCACCACCACAACCAGGAGGCGGCGGCGGCGGTGGTGGTGGTGGTGGTGTTGGTGGGGGGTATCTTTACCCCCCTCAACCGACCCAACAACCGGGTCCAAGTGGACCCCAGTATGGCCCCTCAGGTTGGCAGGGGCCACACAGTACTGCATAGGGTCAACAACCTTACCCTCCTCCTTATCAGGGTGGGGGAGGTTACTATAAACAATGATTTGTGTATACGATTCAGATTCTTTCATTTTTGGTTTTGGTTTTGGTGTGTATAAATAAAAATGTAAATGTATGGACTTGGACTTTATTTGATTTGTATGGTAATTGAGGTAGGTGTTCATGATTTGTGAACTTGTCGGTTACATTACATGTGATAGACATGGTGTTTTGGTAGTTGATGGAATTTCTTACCTAAATTTGTCTCTAACTTGCTTTATTCTCAAAATATTTCGGTAAAATATAATCCTAGTAAACTGTAATTTTAGTTAATACAAACTTTTTAAATCGTTTTATGGAAATATAATTGTATTAATATTATAAATGAATAAACTAAAATGTATTTTTTATATTTATAACATTTGGCAACATACCTAATGAGTGGATAAACTCAAGTTGAGATATTGGGCATGCTTTGGAAATTGATAGATTATAGCTAGAAATTATAGTTTTTATTTGTATATAAACGTTTGACAAAAATAGTTTGAAGCTTTTAAAAGATTTAGAATTACATAAAATAATTTATCTAAAGTCATTGATCTTACAAAAAAGGTAATTAGGTCAATTTGTAAAATTATAAAAAAGATTTTTGTTAAACGTTATTTGAAGTAGTTATTAGATTTGAATTTTTTGTTTTTGCTAATAACTAAACGATTTTTTTTTTAATTTTATTATTATTATTATTATTTTTAAGTTAAAAACTAGAAGCTTTCAAAACTGCATATCAAACACGACCATTAGCTATAAATTATGCATCACTAAGAACCAATATTATATTATCTCAACAATATAATTTTTTAACATTTTAAAACCATACGGGTCTTGTCATTGCCATTATCATTGCCAATGCCAATCATGCTTTTTTTTGTATTATATGATAGATTCAAAGTCGAATACCATTGGAATAAGACATTTCCTTTATATAACAGAATTGTTGATTGATTCCTAATGATTTCATTTGAAATTATGAAATTGCACACTTTCAAATCCAAACAAATAACCAAATGAAACATGTGATTTCGTTCACCAAATAAAATTAAGAAACAATATCTCTATTTTAGTTTCAATCAATCAAATTTATGTATTATAGAACGACTACACCATACATATGTTTCAATCAATATTTCTTTACAAGTGTCGGGATAATAATGGCAAACTAATGGTGCACTTTCCTTGTGTTTTCAGTTTCATTTCCTATGTCATTCTTTGGCCATTTTTTGTTCCTTTTCTTCAACATATTCCCTCTGTTTCTTCTTCAAGTCTATTTAGCTTCAAATTCACATCATTTCCACAAACATAAAATAAAATAAATAAATGTTACCAATTTATGATTAAGATGATGGGAAGATCACCACAATTGATCATAATATTCCTTAGTGTATTTCTTGTGATTTCAGCATCAGCCAACGAATTTGTTAAATCGGTGTTCGTGTTTGGTGACTCCCTTTTTGATCCAGGTAACAACCCTTTTGTCAAGAACTGCACTGCTCAAGCAAATTTTCCACCATACGGTTCAAATTTCTTTGGCCAACCCACTGGACGCTTCACCAATGGTCGAACTGTCGCAGATTTTATTGGTAAATCTGTCACCTTTTTACACGGTTAAAACACCGGACTTATATTCATTTATTGTTTTTCATACAAACAATAAAAAGATAAAGATAAAATGAAAATTTAGTTTTTGATATTTCTCATATATGTATAAATTTATTTATTGCGACTAAAACTACAATATTTTTTTATGCAGCACAATTTTTGGGGATTGAGCTCCAAAAACCATTCCAAGAGGTATATCAAGAGTTCACAAACGGCAGTCGGAAAGATTTTCCGGCCAATGGAATCAACTTCGCCAGCGGTGGAAGTGGAGTTTTGCCGTATACAAACAAGAATGTAGTAAGATCACCAAATTTATTACTTGTGCTTTCAATACGCAATTATATATATTTATTTATATTACAATTTCAAATATTGAATAAAATCGGTATGGAGGTTATGTATTGATCTACAACTTTTGGTTATTTAAGTGTTATTCGAAAAAAAAAATTGGAATTGTTTTTCTTTCAATTTTTTATTTGGTAAAAGAAGTTTGATAATTATCAAGAAAAAGCTTTTAATTATGTAAGATAATGATTTTAATTGGTGTTATTTCTATAAATGCATATATAAACAATTAACGTGGGCAATATAACCCTAAACGGACCTATTAAGTATTAACCTTTTTTTGTTGATGATTTTCAAATTGTATGACGACATAGAAATTAGAAGAAAGTTAAAAAATGATTTATTTGTAATTACTTATTTATTTAATCACCGAAACCTTACTTCGATTTTATATTATATTATTAAACTTTAAATGTTAATTTAAAAATTATGTTTTATATGATAAATATATACCGAATTTATGTTTTGGCAACGGAATCCCATGAAGAACTGAATCATTCGTAAAAGAGGATTATAAAATGGACCACAATTAAGATTAGCAATTCCAAATAATGACCTCTAAAGAATAAATATACAACTTTAACAACAGAAACTTATAATTAGAGGAGTTTAATTGTCATTCATAATAGTCAAAGGCATCAAATTGTATATTACTTGAACACTTCTTTTCTTCTCTCATTTGATTTTAACCATGTCTTATGGACAGGGGGTAACACCAATCCAAGTACAACTACAGCAACTCCAAACCCTAATTGATGAAAACCGCTTACACAAAACCCTAATTTCAAACTCTCTATTCTTCCTCGAATCAGGTTCTAATGACATTTTTAATTATTTCATGTCACCTCACACAATAAGTTCAAAAGCATATGTAGACAACATGTTGAAAGAAGTTTCCCACTTCCTTGACAAAATATATGAGGTTGGAGCTCGTAGGATCGCCATTTTCTCAGTAGGCCCCATGGGGTGTATTCCTGCTAAAGTTCTTCTACCAGATGCACATATTGACCAATGTTTAGATAAGATAAACAACGTTGTGAAAGACTATAATAAGGGATTGGAAGATATGGTAAACGATATACCTAGAAAGTATCGTGATGCAATTAGTGTTTATGGACTAGTGTATAACATTACACAAGATATACGTGCTAACCCTGGATCTTATGGTATACTTTTTCTATAACATGTTATCTTTGATTATATATGTTCATTTTAGAATGAAAGTTGTGATCTTACTTATGTAATACTTATGCATTTTCTTGTGAATTTGAATAGGTTTTGTCAATGTATATAAGGCGTGTTGTGGGGGCGGGCCTCTAAACGGAATATTGCAATGTGGGACCGACGGTTATGATAAGTGTTCAAATCCTTATGACTTCTTTTTTTGGGATTATTTTCATCCTTCAGAACATACTTATAAGCTCATGTCCGAGTCCCTTTGGAATGGAGGTAATAATCAAATCAGACCAATGAATCTGAAGAGTTTGGCCAATATCAACTAGTCATTAACTTAGATAAAGATTTATTTATATAAATGGATTAATTAAAGTCTTTGCATATATAATGTATTGTTGTAATTGGCATTTAAGAGTTGATAGTTACTGAATAAGTTTATGTTTGAGATGGTGGATTGTGTTTTTAATTTACTATTTTACTAATGGGAATGCAAATACATCTTTTGTTATATTTACTAGAATTAGCCCAAGAAAGTTTATTGTTAAAAAGTAATTAAACGATTTGTTTATCAGATGTGGTTTCTAGTTTGAATCGTGTCATGTAACTTGTTATTAGACGTGGCTAGTCGGTGGACATTGTGTCCGGTTAAACAACACATTATCGCATGCGACTTTGCATCATGAATTGTGCCTTGGTTGTAAATCGGGTTATATGAAGGGCTAGTATATGTTTATGCTACATCAACCATAGTTATCTAATCATGTCATACATTAATCTTTAGCAGACCATATGAATCATGTTGCAGTAGGGACTAGTGGTTATAGAAGATTTGGAGTTGATAAAGTTGTTAATTACACAAATTTAAGTATAGAAAATATGTGTTTTGTGTCTGACGTAGATAACATTGATAAGAGAAATGAATTCATTGAAGGAGGAATATGATCAATATCATAAACGGGCAATTCTTGTTATAAATTGGTTAATTAACATCAAAAGGGAACTTTTCTAATTCAAGGATCGTGTATACATATTTTCCTAAATCTATAATTTCGATCTTATAAGTTTGGGTCATAAAATCAGATTTGGGATAATCCAAAAAACAAATATCTCAATTTTATGCAAAATCGAATATACAACCACAAAATGCTTGCTTTGTTCTATGTTTTCACTAGATAGAATTTGCAGAAGATTATAAGGAAAGTTCAATCGATGTCGGGAAACTATCCTACACGTCTCGAAGGAGACACCCCTTGACTCTGCTTGCTTTTTCGACCAGTAAGAGCAGTGCAAATGACTTTTCCCCTTGGAATCCCACCAAAAGCGTTGCCCCAAACCCTGTGTTCTCAAGATCAAATTAACTTATGTGAGCCTAGACTCTGCACCTTTCAATCTTGCATCATATCTAAAAATGAACTGATTATACTAAAAGACTTGATGACAATAAAATCACCAACAGTCCATCACACTTTTGAGTAGAGAAACAATTTGATAAGGAGTAGGTGAGTGAGTTTAGATATTATGAAATATTCATATTGTTCACTCATTAATTGTACATGAAATAAACTAACCCTTTAGTTTTAATTTTCTGGGTAGGTACACGTTTTATTTTATATTGTGCTAAAGTGAGGAACCATTTAACATCTTTTCTTGTGACTATCACATAACTCTAGTTATGAATGGTTTAAAATGGTAAATTTCAGATTTAGTACTAACTGAGTTTTAAAGAATAAATATGAATCATTTCGGCTAGATGCAAATAATATGTTTTTGTATGTTGATCTTTCTAAGGATGTGTAAGAACCCGAAATTTAGAAAGGATTTGACTTTGAGAGAGTTTTGACCAAAAGGGTAATTTTGTCATTTAGATAAATTTCAAGAATTGTGAAGATGTAGCTCCATGAGATTAGCCGAAATAAGTCTAAGTCACATTTATGAGATGAGATAAGTGGGTTCAAGAGAAGAAAGACAAGAGATTGTGTACTTAGGCATAAAGGGTAAAATAGGAATTTTATGTCTTTAGTGGCAAGTTCGCGATTTATGGTTTAAGTGATGGGTTTTCTATGCAACTGTACACTAAAATAAGGCAACGAAAGCAATCAAAAATCATCCTAAGTGTACATGCACCCTAGGATCTAAGCTTTACTATTATAGCAACGTACTTTTAAAACTAACATTACAAGCTAAATGAGAAAGATTGGTACAATAACCTTTTTGACAAACTCTGATTTGTCTCTTGTAGCTTATATTGTAGATTAATAAATCTTAGTTATCATCGTACAACGAATGAGAAGGCAAACGGGCAACAAGTTGCGCCGCTAATCCTTCTTGTATGGTAAAGCCAATTCTTTTGAAGACTACATCCATAGATCTAGGGGATATAACATTGCTATGCATTATCCGTTGTACTTTATTAAGAAGCTCCACCGCATCCAGCGCAAGGAAACGAAACTTATCAAATGCAAATGGTATGAACACATGTTGTTTTTACATGCACGATTTTTCTCATGTTTGGTGACCTTGCATGTAGCAGATTTTAATGCAGCCTGTCCCACCGTGAAACCCCAACCCTCAAGACTACGAGAGGGGATACCTCTGTAAGGTCCACACATGCGTGTTTTTGTAACACCTTGTTTCGAATCGTTTCCTATTTCGGGGTGGTGGCCAAAGAGCGAGAATTATCAGGCTTAGGACCGTTGAGGAAATGAGACCTGGACCACTTTGGATGTGGGTGATGTAAATTTAGATGATCTGGGGTTCGGTTTGTGTTTTGGAGCCAAGGGGTATTTTGGTAAAGTGTCAGCTCGGAATTTGATGGAAATAGGATTTTTATTCGGGAAATTCTAAGGCGGTTATGAGATGATAAAAGCGTAGAGCTTCTCGTTACCTTTTCATTGATATAAGGATCGTCAGAATCGTATTTATAATGAAGAAGTTATGGCTTTTGGAAGAATTTAGGGTTTTGGGGAAAAACCCTAGTACGCGGGGTGTACTTGGGGAGTACGCAGAGCGTACTCGTGCGAGGACCCTTACGCAAGGCGTACCTTGGCGTACGCTGAGCATAGTCAGTAGTTTGATCGCGAAGCTTCGGCCTTGTACGCTGGGCGTACAAGGATTTCATGAAACCCTAATTTAAGTGGATTGTACCCTATTTAAACACCTTAAGATCCTAGGGCGGGCCTCTTTACCAGCCCCCCAAACCTTCTAAAAACCCTAAATAGTCCCTTAAGCTTCCTTGGTGGTGTTCTTGAGTCCTTGAGAGAGATTATTATTAATGGTTGTTCTACTCATTGTGAAGGAAGCTTTGAAGATTGAGGTGCTTTGCTTGGAAGGAAGGTCATAGATCCAGAATCATATCACTTGTTGCAATCTCTTTGAGGTATCAAGTTCATACCTTGGCTTGTAGATGTTTAGATCTCCTCATAGTGTGTTTTGATATGCTTTTGGTACCATTTTGGGTTGATTGAAGAGTTAAGACGTTTTAAGGGTTTGTTCTTTTAGATCTGAGCTTGTGGTGGACTCATTGAGCATAAAGGTGCAAGCTTTATGTGATTTTTTGTCACATGCATGCATTAAGTTACTTGTTAAGTCCTCTTTAAGCTTAAGAGATTCATTTAGCCATGCATGAACGCAAAGTTAGCAACTTTTACGTGATAATCCAACTCAAAGAAGTTAGATCTATGTTTTGGAGCTATGTCTTAAGGGATTAAGTCTTGAAATCAAGTTTTGGGATGAATTGGTGAGAATGTTGGGCGTACAAGCCCTCAAGCGAGTACGTTGCGCGTACCTGTTGGGGCGTACTCAGTCTGATGGACTTCACATGTTTGGGCTTCCGAATTGGGCTATTCTTTGGGCTTAGTGTTGGAACCTGAAAGTGAACCTCTAGCAATCTCTATCTTTTGAATGTTCTGAAGTTAATCAGTTCCGAAATGAATGGTGTTCCGGAGTCAACTTGTGGTCCGGAGTCAAATTGGTGTCTGGAATAAAGAAAATGTTCAAGTGTTGATGTTCCTAGTTGGTGTTCGCTTCCGAGTCAGTTTATCCGTCTGTATTAATTACTTCTGTCATTTAGTTTGATGTAACGTATCATAGGACTTAGTCTCTTTTGTCAACTTAGATAATCAGAGTGTCAGGAGTAACTCTATTATCCGGTCCTATGTACGTGTTTGGTTAGTACGATGTAACTTGTTCTCCTATTTAAGTAGCATTCAATGACAAAACCAAATGACGAATTATTTTCTCCAAAGATAGATATTTTCACATTTACTTCACTTGCACCTTTCTCTCAAATCATTCTTTCAAACATTCATTGTGCTCATTTATTGTCTTTACTTTGATCATATTCATAGTCTCATATTTAATACTTGAAGTACTTTGTTGATTCTCATATTCAGTCTTGACCGGTCTTGCCAGACTTGACTGGAACTATTAATCAGAAGCAGACATTGATCTTAAGCATTAACTCAAGGTTTGAGTTTTTGAGCCTTGTCTCTGTGCAATCAGATCCTTGTTCTCACAATTGGTATCAGAGCTTGAGTGGTTGTCCTTTGAATCCATAAGAACAGATTATAGTTGATTCGATATTACCTTGGTATTTCGATCATTTATGTGTTCAGGATAAAAGTTCTTCTATATACCACTTTTGCTCAGGATATCTTAATTTCAATGGCTGCTTCCAATCCTCAACAAATGTACTCAATGCAAATAGAAAATAGCGTAGGTTTCCCTACACGTGCTCCACTGCTAGTTGTTGAAGAGTATGATCATTGGAAAGTCAGAATGGAAAGATTTTTACTTGGAAAAGAAAAATGTGAATCTATCTGGAGATCCGTTAAAGAAGGTCCCCATGTTCCAGTTCGAACCATTGTTAGAGATGCTGCTGCAACTCTCATGGGACTGGATGAACAACGTCAAGCACCTCTCACTGCTGATGATATTGAAAAGCTGTATGCAGATCAAGTTGCCTTTTCCGAAATGGTGTTTGGTGTTCCACCTTCTCTCTTTGAGCACATCAAATTGTGCAAGTCCGCAAAAGAGATTTGGTACACACTTCAATATTTGTTCGAAGGGTCAGAGAACATGATGTTGGATTAATGTCTAAGTCCATAACTATAATTGGTAAGACTTGACCCGACCCGGCATGGTCCATTTGGGTTGCATGGCATCATGCATTTGGATAGACTATAATGAGAGAAATAACACTTAAGGTTGGTTAATATATTATAAGTTCTAATATATTAATAAGGTTATTTAATTAGTATTGATCAAGAATTAATTTGGAATTAATTAAGTGATCAAAAGGAGACTAATTAAAATATATGGGTTGATTGTGTAAATCATTCATTCTTATATATGTGGGCTTGTGATCCAAGATTCCTTATGTTGGACTAAGTCCATGGGGTGACCCATGGATACTCCATGGAGGTTAAAATCCATGGAGCATAAGGAATGGGTAAAGTTATGAGTTACATGGTGTAACCCTAATAGCCACCATATAAA